GGACATTTTACGATAAAATTTTAATTAGACATATGTCCAATTGTCAAAAATTTTATGGATAGTTTGCAGGCTTCGCACTTAATGAATCGAAGACAAAATCTTAATTAGAAGTGGGTTATCATTTCGACGAATTTTCGGATATCCGCTTGTAAATTATCCGACTAAATCCGTTGAATTAATCAAAAATATAGTAGATTTTAGATATGATGAACTTTTTATAACAATATGCTAAATAGAAAATTTTTGTCGAATTTTTACTATAGGAATTATTATAAAAAAGCTAGCCGCAATCAGAATATGTATTTTATTAATATAATCAACGCATATAGTAAGTAACAGCGTTATTAACATTATTAATGGTGACAATATTATTATTCGAGCAATTCAGAGAAATTTCGCTTGAGGTTTCGCTAGATAAATAATCTTCACTATCCATTATCACGATTATGAATAAGTAATGTAAAAAAAATTTTTTTGCGTTCAAGAAAAAATTCTCTAATCAATGTTACGTATAAAAAATATGTTATTTATTCATGCCAATATTAATAAATTTCCAATAAAAAATTTTCTAATCAAAGTTATATGTTAGATATAAAATATATCATCTATTCATGTCAAATTAATTATCGGATAGTTTAACAGATATCCGACTATCTACAAATATATTTTCGTTATCCGATATTGAACGGATATCCAATAGAAAATCCACCGGATTTTTTGAACGGATCCAAGCACTACGACGAATAAAATAAGAAGACGCAAATCATTAGCAAATAATATTGAAGGCGCTGCCACAAAACACCTTCAATAATATTATATTTAATTACAATAGCATAAATTTTACCCGGAGGGATGGTTACTACACATTTGAATGGCGCACTTTGAATGCTATTTAATTCAGGGTTCTTAAGCATCTCACTTGATGAGTTTTATATAAATTGATACAAAAAGATAAACAGCCAAAATTGAACTATAATTTGATTTAAAAAATCCATGTTTAGTTAATTTATCCAATAAAATATTTATTTATGTCCAATTAAGTTACTTGGATAAATTGGACATCAAATGTCCAATATAAAGACATGACATTTTCTACCTAACAAAGAAACTAAACCTCATCAGAGTAGACAGATTCTTTTTTATCTTTTCGCTATGCATCTATTCTTAGGCTTCTCGATGAAATAAAATTAGAGTGGTGAAATCACTTCATCACTATTGGTAAGATTAGTGTTGAAGATGAAACCAGGTTCACTAACACCTCTATGGTGATTCGGTCATACTGTATAATTAAAGGAATTATCGTGGTTTAGTATTCTTATGTATACTACCTCTTACATACCGGACTGGTAAGTGTTGTAACCAATCACATCCAAGTTAGTCCTTTAAATAACTTTAGCAGCCTAATCTCTGCGATTATAATAAATATATAATAGTGATGTTAAAATATTTAAATAATTTTGCTCAAGCAGGTTTGGATCACGAGTTCTTATAGCTTGTTATATATATACTTTTAAAGCATGTTTGCTTATAAGTAGAGTTTTTAAATATGCTTTTAAATTAGATTCTTAAATTTAACTAAGTTTATTATTAGCTATATTATTCATTAAATAAAATATAATATTTTTTTAAAGTTAGTTTAATAAAAATTATTTTAATATTAAAGCAATATACTGTATATATAAGGTGGATATGGGTATTATGGCGCAGTTAACTTTAAATGGTAATATCATGTGAAATAGAAATCAGAATCAAATGATTTTAATACCATTCGATTCGCCTCATCAAGACGAATCAAATAATACCAAAATCGTTCAATTCTGATCACTAGATCACGAGTTATTGCAAATCAAATTAAATATCAAAAAATCAATAAATTTAGACACATGTACCAATAATGGCGCACATGTGATATCTCATGATCTAGTGATCAGAATTGAATGATTTCGATACCAATGATACCAAAATCATTCAATTCTGATTACTGCATCACAAGTTATAAACAATTAAAAATTATTATTAGCAAATATTTGGGACACTTGAAGAACAAGTACCCCAGTGATCATGACATCACGTGAAATCATGCAATTACGTCATTTGTTTTACTAGCACTAAAAAAATTAGCCTAAACTAACCTATCACCTAACCCTAACACTAACCCTAACGTAGGCCGAACACTTAATCAGGTGATGTGATTAGCACGAATATGTCACTGAGGTACTTGTTCTTCAATCTTCTCAAATATTTTACTAATCACTGCGCCGATATTTATACCAAAACTTTGATTGAAGATATCTTTGCAACCACATAACCAAAATTGATGAACTTTTTTTTATTTGAATTCTACAGAACCATAGAATTCAAATAAAAAAAAGTTCATTGATTTTGGCTATGTGGTTACAAAGATATCTTCAATCAAAGTTTTTGAAATTTTAAAACGCCTATATTACTTAATAATAACTGCGCCGATATTCATACCAAAACTTTGATCGAAGATATCTTTGGCAACCACATAGCCAAAATCGATAAACTTTTTTTTATTTGAATTCTAAAGAACTATAGAATTCAAATAAAAAAAGTTCATTGATTTTGGTTATGTGGTTGCAAAGATATCTTCAATCAAAGTTTTTGAAATTTTAAAACGCCTATATCTATAATTTAAAAAAATTGTTTATTTCATTAAAGCAAAGATATCTCGTGACCTATTATTCAGAATTGTACGATTTTGGTACCAATCGATTCGTCTCACCGAGACGGATCGATTGGTACCAAAATCGTACAATTCTGATCGATGGGTCATGAGATATCATAACTGCGCCATAATTGGTAGTGCGCCATAATATCCATATCCACCTTACTGTAAGTAATTTCACTATTTTATTTTTAAAATATATTTTTAAGACATTTTTAACAACGTAATTTATGTAAATTTTAACCAGCGGAGAGATCTGGTGTAATCCAGCATTTGCGACTAGTACATCTCGTAACCAGCAAAGTGAAGGAACTTATATCACAGATGTTATAGTTCCATTACTTCGGGCAAGTTTGAAAAACCTTCCGAATGACTATGTCTGCTTAAGCACGTAAGAGTCGATTTGTAAAATTTTATTGCAAAATAGAAAAGATTATTAAACGTTTTTCTTTACTAATTTTAGAGCAGAACGTCAAAGTCTTGCAAGCAAGGCTCGAAGAAATATAGGTGTTGAAGGAGAACGTATGGGTAAGAAGCCCGACGTTATGATGCTAATAATGGTTGAAGAAAAGGTTTTCGAGCTTGGTTACGTTGAATCCTCGCGCATCAACTGTGGTAAACCTAAAAAAGATGATGATTATACGAAGCTTTGGAGAGAAACGTTAGATGGGATAAGTCTTATCGATGCAACATGTAGACCAAAAGCTAACCAATTTGGCATCGTGGGGATACAGGTAGCTGGCAATATAATGTATTTGAATGTTCTTATTAAGGATGCGGGGGGCATACCACGTTATTTCCATTTAGATCATGCAGAACTGCCATTATTTCCAAATTCAATTCAGTGCGTGAGCTCTCTTATGCGTTTGTTATTGACTTTAAGGAACATTTTGATTGTAAATAAGAGCTTGCTAGTGCGAGCACTGGAATATGCTACTTCACATCCTCCTAGAAACGTTCATCCAAGCCCTGTCGTCTCTTCCCCCAAACATGACAATGTTTAGAGTTCCTTTATTCCGCATTTATATTCTATATTTTGTTGTCTAATATTTTTATATAATAAAGCTGGCTCATTTCACATACATAATCAGTTTACTTATGCATGTATAGTTCGCGAATTTATTTATTGTATTGATAATGGATAACGATATATTTCCCGGTAAAAGTGATCGGCGTGACAAATTGTCACGCGCAGATAATTTTTTTATTTGAAATTAAAAGCATTAATTGTCGCATAGTTTCTGAAAACCCTTTATACCTTGTAAAAGGTATACAAATTGATATTGGAAGGGTTAATGAATTTGAAAGTAAGAAGGATGAACGAAGAGACAAATTGAACAACTCACGTAATCATGTGATCGATCGGAGTCGAGGTATGAATCGAGATGTGGGGCAGCACATGCAAGATGATGGGGACAATAAAAAGTTTAATTAATTAATAACAAAGAAATAGTTAAACTGTAATACAAAATATATAATTGCTTGAATCGCTTAAAATAGCGAAATATAAAATAAAGAATAAACAGTCTTTGGACTGGAGAAATGAGTTCTTTAAAGTATTCTTAGTGAATAAACTGTATCTTAGTGTCATATTGGTGGTAGTATCTGGTATGATACACCAGTCATTATATATTGCCAAGCGAGTGTTAATTGATAGTATAGACCCACTAATACACGGTAGTTTGGGTAACTCTGTGACATTAATTATCATATTTTATATAAAAAATGGCAAATATGCAATCTAAAGATGACTTGTTGAGAGAATTGAATTATAAGCTTGTAGCCGAGATTGATAAACTTAGAAAGAAGAATGCAGAAATACCTGAACTTAAAAAGAAATGTGCTGAAATTGAGGCTGAAAATATAAAGTTAAAGCAGATTATAGAAGAAAATACTGAATTTAAGACTAGATTCGAGGAACAATATAGGAAAAATAAAACAGATATTGCAAATCTTATAAACGAGAATACAGAACTCAAATCTAGGGTTTCAAAATTGGAACAAAAGTTATCACAAAATGACAAAGAAAAAGGCGACCTTATTGCTAAATTAGATGATGATACTGCATCTTACAAAACAAATTCTGATGATACCCCTGAACAGATAAAAAATATATCTAACAATATTTCTAATTCTAATATATACCGGAAATCGAATATTCAATATTCTGAACCACTTATTCATACAGAGTCTGAATCTTCTGAAAATCAAATTTTTGGATTGTGTATATAAGGAACAGATTAGTAACAAGATTAGAGAAAGAAATAGAGAAAAGAAGCTTTGGGATCAAGTGATATCTACTAGTGAAGGAATGTCCACAATTTGCAAAACTTCATATAACAATAGGCAAAATCATGTAAATGAAATTTCAGCTAGGGCATCCAGCCAAAAAATTGTCATAGAAAAAAAGGATACTTACCCTCAGAATTCAATTCCCAATATATCTAACAATCTTTTATTACAACAAAATCAAATTTTTTTTTCAGTAACAATGCTTACTTTAGCTCAATTATTTGATAAAGCAACTATTGCTAAACATAGTGCTATTTGTGCAAACCAAGAAGAAATTTTATGCTGGTGTTATTACGGAAAAGAATTTATAATTTAGTACAAAGATATATTAAAAAATAGCAATGGTAAAATTGGCAAGAAAAAAGCCAAAAGTATAGTTTATAATAAAATGTTAGAACAACTTTTTATTATCTATAAAAAGAAATCCGAAGGTATGGGCTTTCATCTTCTGGAAATATCACACAAACACTTACAAGGGAAAACTCAGAAAGCTGTAAAGATATATAATTTATTTGAAAAGATAGACATAGATAAAATTAAGTATATCAAAATATACAATGCAAATGCCATTTCTGAATTAACTAATAACAAAATACAAACCATTATAAACCATTTCTTCAAGAATACTAATACCGATTTACCAGATGGTTCTATTGATAATTCCTCAAACAAAGCTAAATCTCAAGTTTTCAATTCTGAACCATCCCAAGAAAATAATCAATATTCAAAACAATTACCAAAAACTTTTCCAGAAGCAAGCATCCCAACCATTCCCTCTACTCTATTATCTTATACCTCTAATTCAGAAGATATGATAAGCGAGGACAAATCTTTACCGGAGACTAAGGTAAGTGCATTATCTAATCCAACCTGTGATCATATTTATTTTTGTAATAAAATATTAGAAGAATATCCTAATTTATATAAAGATGGTAATAGTGAAAATGTAGATTATTATGGAATTGCTGATAATACATTATGTCCTTTATATAAAATTAGATCATAATGACAGTAAAGATATAGAAGGTAGATATGCAAACTATAGAGTCTCTGACTTATATGAAATTGAATTCTATTATATTAAATATGAAAAGTAGGAAGTTGAAATCGAGGTAATGGCATGAAATTTATCTTATATTAACACAATTCACTTAAGCCTTTAAGGTGTCTCTCTGAGGCATATTTTTTTTGTTAAATATTGTTAATTTAAAGAGACGTGCAATTATATAAATGACAACATGAATACATAGACGAAGCCCAATAAAATATTAACTCCCGAATATTTGGAATGGAATAATAAATTTACTAGATTACCAAGTGTTTTAACCGATAAAATTTGTTCCGAGTTATATAAGAGATACAAGAAAAAAACTGGTCTTAATCCCTGGATAAAGTCTAAAACTTCTGAATTCCTACAAATCGAAAAGGATGCTGACAATCATATCTTACAAGACAGCTTGCCAGAAACACAAGTAAAGGTAGAGCAGGTAAATGTTCTACCTACACTATCAAAACCTCGATCACCAATTTCTATTCTACCTAAAGACCCAGAAGAGAAACAAAAACATGTTATTAAAATGGTATTAGAGCGATTTCCTTATTTAACTTTGAAACATAGTTTTAAATATAGTAATTATTTTGATTTTAATAGATCTGTACTCTGTCCTATATGCAATAAAAATCATAAAAAAGAAAATATAAGAGTTAATATAGAAGGTTTATGAGGGAGTGGCGATTATGTCAATACAAAAACTTATCATCTCTATTGTTATATAAATAAATATCAAAATTCAATCCCAATAGTAACAGTAAAAGCATAGGTTAATAAGAAAACTTTATTATTTCCACCAATTAATAATCGCAAATTGCATTACAAGAATCGTGTAAAATAAAAAATGGCGAGCCCATAGAACCCCTCTTTATTTTATAAAAATTATTGCCAAACCAACAATATACAAATAAAAAATAAATAATAAATTTTTTTCTAATTATTCATTAAGGATCATAATCATTCTAATCACTACAATTGGCATCGCTAGTTGAATACTACATATAACTATCAAGAGAATGGTCAACCTTATCTCTATATCTGTAATAATGCAAAATTGGCTTATCAGAGATATGATCTATTTTGAATAGAAAAGAAAACTAAATCTCTGGTGATTGTATTTACACAATGTAAACTTTACTTACAAGATCTGGGACTATACAACCTAGGTACATAACCTACTGAGATAACAACCCCGGAGGCGTTAAAATCATTAGTCGTGGGGGCATTGCTATCATTGGTCTTGGGGTGCTACTATCATTAGTTATGGAGGTAGTGATGTTATTACTTATAGTGGTGGTGTCATTAGTCTTGAGGGTGGTATTGGTGTTATTAGTCTTGGTGGTGGCAGTTTTTTTATTACTGCTCATTTTTCGTTCTAAATAAAAATATAATAAGTAAAAATTTGCTTTTATAATCTCCATTAAATAAAATATTACGTTATGTTTAGTAATTGGGTTAAGGTAACTTAATCTAGATCACACCATGTAAAGCAAGTCTATTCGGTTATAACTTCCAAATGCTAAATCTATTTTGTTATTTTTTTTTGGTAAAATTAATCTCTCTTAGATTTAACGATCTCTTCTGCGAAGTAAAAAAGTCAATGATTTCAACAATCTGAAAATGCCAAGTTCCTGCAACATATGAATTTTGATAAAAATATTAATAAAGAATGTTATACTTATTGCTCTTATCCCTTAAATTATAACACAGGCAAATTTGCCTGTGTTTTTATTAAAAAGTTTAATTTTTTTAATAAAAACTTATATATTAATTTTAGCT